GTCGGCGAAGTCGAAGTCGAAGAGCTCGACGTGCCTTCCTCCCCGCCAGATTCCCGAGTGGCTGTCGCGCGGAAGACGTATCCCACCCGAGGACGCTTGCTCGCGGCCCACCGATTTAGGTTGGCGATCGACTGGATCGGCCTTCATTCAGTGAATGCCAGCGGCTTCCTATGGAAAACGATTCGTGAGCAAAGTCGTGTGAACAGACTGTGGACCATCCCGCGCAGATGCCGATTTGCTATGTCTTGCCGCCGAACGACCAACCGATTATGGAGGGAGCGCCAGCGCACCGCCACCCACCGCATGCTTGCACAACCGACGAGAACTCATATGCCACTGCGTTATCTAGCGTGGGTCTATCATTGATAAGGGCTTATGTTTATAACAAGATAGATAAGGTTATAAGTATTGTCATATAATCCCATACAGTATTAATATACTATATATAATATATTATATATTATAAATTATATAACAGTATCTTAAAGATCTAACTATGCTATATTAGATAAGTATATAGATAGCATTATCTAGATAGATAAGATAATATAGATGATAATAGAATAGTATATATGAATTAGATAAATTCTATCTATATTAGTTCAATTTCTATACGTACAAAACACGTATTCGCGTACTTCACTCACCTCAGGAACTTCAGTCGCTCTTCTTCCAGAAGAACCGATGTCACCACGCCTCCTCGCCCGCCTATTTAACCCACATCCGCCCTACTCTGTGCCTATCCAACCGTCGATTCACGGTACGTAGTACCACGCCCACCCACCTGTCCTGGCTAGATCCAAGTTTGGTCAATGCCTCTCTCCTCTTCTACCACTATGTCTCTATATAGCATCCCGCCATGTAGAACACAATGCCATCGAGCGACAGTGATCCATAGACTCATTAGCACCGCCAATTATAATCGCCAACATACTATAAGTCTTTCCGTCCCTCCATTAGACCAACAATTAACCCCTACACCTTGAATCAGCCCATCACTAGCATTGCAAAAATCTTACAACTTCCCCTCGTATATACCAGTAACATATAAAAACTAATTCATTTAAATACTAGCACCAACATACAGTCCATCTATCACATCCATCCTTACATGCTTCTCGCCAGTTATATTATTCATTATGAACCACAGCTTATTAGTTGCAGCAAATGATTATCCTTTATATACTATTAATCCACTGCATTCACTGTCATATTCATTTTTTCATATAAACCAATTGATTAATCATGATATTACATTTTAATTTACATATATACTAGAATAATCTCCAGCACACAAGGTGTACCACGCATATTTACCTATTACTGTACCAATGAAATACAAATGGAACAATTTACAATATATTGTTCCATGTGCCATGCTTTCACATGTTGTTATTGGTGAATATTTGCCATTGCGTTCGGAACTTCTCAAAAGATTGGGTAATGATAAGGATAATGACTGGATAAATAATGATAAGGTAATATGCTGAGTCTGACTCCCACCTTCTGCAAGTTGGACGGGAAGCAGGCGATGCTCTAACCTGTACTGCTACCAAGGGTCTCGTTCCAGTTGGGGTAAACACTTGCAATGACAAAAAAGAAAACACATAAACACGTACGCACATAAAAGAATAGAAGAGGAACAGATATAGATATAGTTAGATATATATACACATGCATACAAACACACACACATGTATGTGTGTGCATATAGATTGACAAAAAAAATGTGCTGTGTGGTCTGTCGTGTGTGCTGGTGTGTGTTGTGTGTGTTTGTGGTGTGTTGTGTGTGTTTTGTGTGTTGTGTTGTGTGTGGTGTTGTGTGTGTTTGTGTGTGTGGTGTTGTTGTTGTGGTGTGTCGGATTTGTGTGTTTGTTCGTGTGTTGTGGGGTGCGTGCGTCGTTGTTGTGCATATGTACAATACATGCATAGCCTGTGTATATGCAAATGTTTTGAGGCGTTTTCGTATTCCACATGAAGCCATGCATCGTTTACCAAATAGCTACTATTTCATCCTTTAGATCTTGAATATGAACACACGAGTCTTAAAATTAGGAACCGCCCCTACCGTAGAGAAAAGAGGTAAATCTTCAGATGTCCTCGTACCCGTGTTTTAGCCTAATCTTTTCCATTTTAAATAGCGTTGCCCACAAGCCCCTTAATACTTCCTCCCGTGCTGGTCTAGCAATCTTGCTGACCTGCGTTCAATCCTACGCCCGGCCAGTGAGTGGTAATCCTGGCCATTCCTTGCACACAGGGGCAGATTTGGGCAAAATAAAACAGACAGTATGTCACAGCAAAAGAATATACATTGTAACAAATGGAATTAAAACTAAATCTTAATCTTAACCTTTAAAATCCCTCCGATTCAGTCTCTATCGTAGGTCTTCCATCATCTTCATGACTTAAATTAAAATCTCGCCAGCCATGACCCATCTCGTAATGCAAAAGGATGCAGCCATGCAACCTGCAACAGTGAGAAGTTACTATGTATAATGTGGAAAGGTATGGAGAAGTTCTACTTGTATGAGTTGGCAACAGGACTGTGCTAAAGAAGCCAGGTTTGCATGACAATTCTGAGGAACAAAAATCGTGGAGGTTTTGTTCTTCTGTTGTTGAAAGGTACCATCGGGGAAACTAGAGAACAGAAAGAGACACAGAACTTGGCGAAAG